TCTACTCCCGTAAAGATTTACAGCCTCGGAAACCCTGTACAGGGTCGCTATGAGTCAGAACCGACTCCACGGCACATAACAACAACAAGGAGCTCTGGTAGCATGGTGGTTACGAATCGGGCTGCGAACCTTAAGGTCAGCAGTTCGAAACTACCAGCTGCTCCACGGGAGAAAGATGAGGCTTTCTACTCCCGTAAAGATTTACACCCTCGGAAACCCTGTACAGGGTCGCTATGGGTCGGAACCAACTCAACGGCACTTAACAACAACAACAGTGGCACTGTGGGCTAGACATTGTGCTGCTACTGCAAGATCAGTGGTTCAAACCCATCAGCAAATACTGGGGGGAAAAGATGAGACTGTCAGCTCTGTAACGGTTTATGGTCTCAGTCAGAAACCTGATGAAGCAGTTCATCTCTGTGGGGTGCTATGAGTCGGAATTGACTCTATGATAGTGGGTTTAGTGACTAGTCTATTAAGAGTCTATGAAAGAGTGAAATATTGTGAGAAGTACCAAAATATGGTACAGAGACATGAATTGGAAAAATGGCAGACTTGCTTAATGTCTCAAATCTTCAATTTGTATAAAATGCACTATCTGCAAAGCTAGATGAAACAAGGTATGCCTGCAGCGAATAGAGAGAACTGCCCCCCATAGGGTTTCTAAGACTGTTATCTTTACAGAAGCAGACTAAACATGTCTTTCTTCCAAGAAGCAGCTAGTGAGTTCAAACCACTGACCTTTCTTTCAGCAGCTGAGCTCTTAACCATTGTGCCACCGGGACTTCTAACTCACCAGGACTCTAGAAGTGGTCAAGTCCCTTAGACCTGGCTGAGTGACACACAGAAACTGTCTTAGCCATGGAGGTTCAGGTTTGGCCAGTTAGTCTAATTCCACTCTTCTGGCTACGATGATTGGTTTGCGATGGATGAATGATCCCAGTTGATCCACAGTTAATGCTAGACTTGTTGGAGCCTCAAGACACAGATAGCTTCATTTTGCTGAACTTTGCCTGAAAATATGTAGACCTAGAATTCTTGGCAGCAGTATTCTTACGTCATGGAGATGGAAATCAACATGGAGGAAAGTAGAGCCAAGTGATGGAAGGAGACTGGAATGTGAGACAGTATTTGAATATTTGACCTCTGGATTTTCCGTTCCATAGTCAGTACATTTTTCCTTTGGCTGAATTAATTTAAAGACAGATTTTCCAAAGCCATAAGTAGTAATTCACCATATCAGTTCTAATCTGGGCTCCAGACTAGATTAGGTATAGGTATGAATCCTACCCTCTCCCAAATTCTCCTAAGTGAATTTGGAAGTGCCTGGGAGACTTCTCCTGTGTTCAGTCCACTAAATCTTTGACATTCCCTAACTACCACTGTGAGTGAGAATTTCCTTATTTTTTATAAACTGGGAGTGGTAACCATCTCAGTAGCCCAGCAAAGCAGTTAATAGTCAATACTGAGGGGGCTAAAGTGAACATCCTCTTGAGGCACTGCTGGTGTCTGAGTCCAGATTGCTGAAGCTGCTGGTGTTCCATTTAGTAGTACAAAGGTGCTGCTCTTGCTTACTGCTCGTCTTCATAGCTCCACTACTTGTGCCAGGCACTATGCTAGGTATTTTGCACTCATTCTCATATGTAATCACTACAGCAACCTCAGAGTGGAGGTGATTATTGTATCCCCATTGAACAGATGAGGAAATTGAAGCTCATATAACCAGGTCCCAGAGCTTCCAACACTGTGTACTTAAACATTGTCCCATGAATCTGAACCCGGGATGGGCTGAGATGAGAGTCTTGGAGAGGAACCCAAGGGAAGGAGAACCAAAAAGGAACATTTAGGGCTATGTTGTTCTTGTTAAGTGCTGTCCAGTCGACTCCAACCCATAGCGACCCCGTATAGAATTTCCAAGGAGCACTTTTGTTGTCGGTTCCGACTCATAGTGACCATGTTTCCGAGGCTGTAAATCTTTACGGAAGCAGAAAGCCTCATCTTTCTCTCGCAGAGCCGCTGGTAGCTTCGAACTGCTGACCTTGCGGTTCACAGCCCGATTCGTAACCACTACGCTATCAGAGCTCCTTAGGACTCCTGTTAGGTTATAGGAAAGTTCAACAAGGCTTACTCATAGTCCAGTGGGCAAACCCACCCCAACTCACCTAGTGATCTGCGTCCGTAAAGATTGGTGGTGATGGTTGTGTGCTGCGGAGTCTATTCCAACTCATAGCGACCCTGTATAGGGTTTCTGAGGCTGTAAGTCTTTATGGGAGCAGAAAGCCTCATTTTTCCCTCAGGAACAGTAGATTCGAACTGCTGACCTTGCAGTTAGCAGCCCAATTTATAACCCACTACTCTACCAGAGCTTCCTCCGTAAAGGTTGTTGGTTGTTGTTATGTGCCGTGGAGTCGGTTCCGACTCATAGTGACCCTGTACAGGGTTTCCGAGGCTGTGAATCTTTACGGGAGCAGAAAGCTTCATCTTTCTCCCGCGGAACAGCTGGTAGTTTCGAACTGCTGACCTTGAGGTTCGCAGCCCAATTCGTAATCACTACTCTACCAGAGCTTGTAGTTGTTGTTAAATGCCATGAAGTCAGTTCCTACTCTTAGAGACCCTGTAAAGGGTTTCCTAGGAGCAGCAGGTGAGCTTGAACAGCCGGCTTTGCAGTCCAGAGCCACACGGGGACTCTCCTAGGAAATGCTATGGGGGCAGTTCTCCGCTGTTACATAAGATTGCTGTGAGTCAGAATCTACTGGAAGGCGCAGAAGAGCAACATAAAAGTTGAAATGGTAGCTTGGCGGGATTGAGACTGGCCATGAGAACGGGTTGGGAAGGCTGATTGTGGGTGAGAGTGGGCGCAGTCTCCAAGCCCTACAACAACAGCGAAGTGTCAAGCGGCCATTCAAGTTGCTCCCTATGTTTTCCACGCCCAAGGACTGCCAGGTGGGGGCGGCTGGTGGGGCGGGACCTCTCTGGGCCCGCCCAAGCCCAGGTGAGGTGTCCAGGGTTCGGCCGGAAGAACTGCTGCACCCCGGCTGGGGTTGTGAAGTGTATTGTATCCATCTCTCTGGCTGTTGGGCCACTCTGAGCCCTGGGACTGGCCAGGCCAGGCCTTTGAGGGGTGGAAGAGGAGGGTGCGGCGCCCTGCTCAGTCCAGGTGTCGTCTCCGGGGGCGGGGTTTGGGAACCGAGCAGCGGGAGATTCCCCGCAGGACTCGCGAGCTGGTGTCGAAGGACAGAAACAGACTAGACGCAGCGGAGACCGGCATCGCGGAGCTGCAAGCATGTTTTCCCGAAACCACCGGAGCCGAGTCACCGTGGCCAGGGGCTCCGCCCTGGAGATGGAGTTCAAACGCGGCCGCTTCCGACTCAGCCTCTTCAGCGACCCGCCAGAGGTGAGAGATCCGCGTCCCCGCCCTCCGCTTCCCGGGCCCCTGCAGCCCCCGCCCACGCACACGCAGAGAGGCGGAGACGCGGCGGCGGTGTGGACACCAACGGTGCCTGAGTGTTGACTTAACAAGTAAGGCGCGGACCTCCGCGCAGGAGTCGGATCTGTGCCACCTCTGACGTTGGGATGAATAGCCTCTATTCGGGAAAACCGGGTTGGCTAATTTACAAAATGTGCCAGGGCCCCAGATACCATGGATGGTATCTCAGGACAGAAAGAAGTAGGCAAGCTCGGCGGACCTCAAGAGTTCGGACTCTTGGCTTGGCCTGGGAGCAGACCCCATTCCACAAAATTGCTTCAACTGTTGGGACAGCCTCAAGGTCTAGGGTCAGGTCTCCACTCACTTTAAGTCCTTTGCTGTGTTGGGGAGATGCGGAATTCCCTTTTAATTCTTTGGAGGTTATCTTGCACTCCCAAACTTTCAGCCTCTTTCCCTGAGGCTTAAGAGGAGCCCAGCCTCTAGGTTGAGAGTTTCCTCCGGTCTGCACATTATCCAGGACTGAACATTATCTGTAACTCCCCAAAGAGGCTCTGTGGGGTGTTGGTGGCTTAGGGCTGAGCCAGGACTGCGAGGGCGGGCGAGTAGCCAATTCCAAGCTCTTTTCCCTCCCAGGTCTGGAAAGAGTTAAGTAAGTCAGGCCTTCCTCCCGCCCCTCTCACCCTCCCCTCCAAGATTCCAGTTCTAGCTTCTGCCCTTTCCCTCCCTTCTACCCTGAACAAAGGCTCTTTCTCACTTGTGCCCTGGTGTCCCGGCCTTTAAGATTTCGGATGTTAGCGGTCTTGGGGGAGGAAACTTTTGTCGTCCCCCCAGCTCCCAAGCAACGCCGCCCTCGGGACCCGCTCGTGTGGAGGTGGAAGGCGAGGCCTGGGAACTAGGGGGAGGGGTCTGTGGGTTGGGGCCGTCCCCGGGAGGAGCCCTGCTTTTGGGAGGCAACAACGAGGAGCTGGGAGCTGGGGCTGAGCCGCAGGTCCAGGCCGTGGGCCTAGGGTGGAGGGGGGAGCAAACTGCAGCTGGCTGGGAATCGGGGCTGGTTTCCTGTCTGGAAGGGAAGGGGCCCTGCAGAAGGGAGCGGGGGGCAGAAGCAGACAGGCACACCCCTGACTTTCTCCCTTCCTCCCTCCCTCCCTCTCTGTCTTCCCTTCTGCTGGAAAAGCGAGGTAATTGTGAATCCAGGGTTGGGCGGATTGGATGGGGGCCCCCGAGTTGGAAGCAGTGGCTCTGGGAACTGGGCCGCTATACCTACTCACCCCTTTGTCCCTCTCTCTGGGCTCCGCCTCTGCTCATCAAGTCATTACCTCTGTCCCACTTCCTCCTAACTTTCAAAACTTAAGCCAGAACCCCTCTCAGAAAGCTCCAACCTGTCGGCAAACCCCACGACTTTGCAGGACTTTCATGAGACGCCCTTTCCCTGCCCCCCTACCCCCCACCCGTCCAGCTGTGCCTGGCCCTCATTCCCTCTCTGCACACAGATTCTCTGTCCTCCAGGCCAGGGATGTGGGCGGGGGCTGGGGAGGGACCAGAGTCGGAATGAAAGGGCCTTTTTCTTCCACAGCTGGGAGGACAGCTGCCACTAAAGCAAGACTGGACACTCTGTGCCCAGAATCCTCTCTGCAGCTGGCCTCTTCTCCTGGGACCTGCTCCTCTTCACCTCACTTTCCTTTCCTCTCCTGCCTGACTCCTACCAGGCCTAGGACAGCAAGCAATAGGCCAGAAGTTTGTCACAGCAGCCAGAGGGGTCTGACAGGAGCATAGAGGGACAGAGTCAGCCTTTGCCTACTGCCCAAGAGCTGCCTGCCTCTTTTCAAGACTGAGGGAGCAGTGGGAGGAGGAACTGTGGGGCAACGTGGTGCCTGCCCCCTTCCCCTGGAGGGGTCTTCGAGGGAAGGGGCACTAGGGGCCACAGAGATGCAGGACAGAATGCACATCCTGGAGGACCTGAATATGCTCTACATTCGACAGATGGCACTCAGCCTTGAGGTAATGTTCCCACCGCTGGAGTGTACATGTTCTCTCGACGCCTACATCCCAACCCTGCCCCTGCCCTGCCTTCTGGCCTACCTTTCCCTGTTGGGACTGTGAGGGGATGGTGGGGCCTGCTCAAAATGGGGAGAGGGGCAGGTTGCTGGGTGGACCCAGCCTTAGTTTCACTGATCAGAAAATTAGGTTGGCAATAGTGTCTTCACACCTATTTTTGGAAGCTCTGTGGATGGGAGTGCATGTGTATTCTGTGTAGATGTGAGAGGAAGAGATTACTGTGAAACATTTGGAGCTAGGAAGTAGTCTCCTTAGAGAAAGGCAAAGGAGCTGTCTGGAGATAGCCCTGGAGATGACAGGGAATTGTTTCATTTATTCTTATAACTCACATACCCAGTATGTGCAAAGCTCTGTTCTAGAATACCTCAGTGTACCAAGACAGGAACGACCCATTCTAGTGGGGAAGAGACTATAGACATGCAAACATATAAAGAAATAATCTCACATAATGAAATTATAATGAAAAGGGGATGTAATCAAAACCAGGTGGGGAGAGCAGCATTCAATGTGAAGGTCAAGAAAGGTCTTTGTGATCTTTGAGGTGATACCAGAAGAACATGAAAATGTCAAGATTGGAGGAAGGGCTTTCCAGACAGAAGGCATAGATGAGAGTGATGTTTGTGGGAACGGAAGGAAAACAGTGTGGCTAGGACTTAGTAATTGGTGTTGAGCTGGTGAGCAGGAGTCAGATCAGTATTTTGAATACCATGATTGTTGCTGTTGTTTAGTGCTGTTGAGTTGTTTCTAACTCACAGCAACCCTGTATATGGTTTCTGAGGAGCAACTGGTGAGGTTGAACCACAGACTTTGAGGTTAACAGTCCCTAGCCACACCAGCACCCATGAATGCCACGATGTTGTTGTTGTTAAGTGCCTTCGAGTCGGTTATGGCACTTGAATTTTACTCTAAATGTGATGTTGGACCATGGAAGGCCTTTAAGCAGGGATAGGATAGATCAGTGCTTTAAAATGATGGCTGGTGTGGAGAATAGACTGGAGGTCTGTGTGTGGAGCGATTGGCAAGCAAGTAGTAAAAGACCAGGAAGCTTGTTATAGTCACAGAAGTGTGAAGCTGGTGGTGTGGATTACAGTGCCCATGGAGGCTGTGAGAAGTGGGTGAATTTCACAGGCCTTCTGATTCCTTAGACCTGAGGGGTGAGGCAAAGAGAGGACTCCAGGATGATTCCCTGGCTTGAGCCACCTCGGTGATGTGGCTATTTACTGAAATGTAGAAGATGGAGGAAGTTGTAGAAGTGACTACCTGGATGAGGCAGTGGGTTGCTGCTGAGGGAGGTCAAGGCAGAACTATAGAGGGTCTGCTAAGTCAGGAATAGCAAATCTATTATTGCTCCTGTGCTGCTCCCTGAGTTGCCACTCCCATTCCCTGGACCATCGTAGACATTGCTAGTCATTTATAGCATTCTTTACCTATGAGCCCAGATGTGGCCTCAGAATCTTTCTCACACAGACTTGTCACAAACTGTGCAGGTTGTGGCCTTCATAAGTAAGTTGGGCAGAGGCCAGAGCCCTATTCTGTCTTTGGTTGCAATAGAAGGGGGTCACCTTTTTCTAATTGGGAGAAAGGTACCCAGTGAGCCAACTGGGGCTCTGACACTAACTATTTGCCCTCTGTTGGCACATGAGATAAATCTGTTAGCCATCCTTGATCATCTGGTATTGATTCCTGGTATGGCACTGTAGGCACTGGACTTTGAACCACAAGGTCTGCAGTTCAAACCCACCAGCTGCTCCTTGGAAACCCTATAATGGGCTGCTATGAGTCAGAACCAACTCGACGGCATTTAACAACAATAGTATCATCTGGTACTGCCCAATATGGTAGATAGGAGTTATATGTGAGTAGTCCTTGGGGTGGTAAAAAACAGTTAAGCACTCAACTACTAACCAAAAGGTTTTCGGTTTGAACCCACCTAGAGGCAACAACAGTGAGGTTGGCCCAGGATTGGGCAGTGTTTGGTTCTGCTGTGCACAGGGTCGCTATGAGTCGGTACCTACTCGATGGCACCTAACAACAAAGAGGCACCTTGGAAGAAAGGCCTGGTGATCTGCTTCCAGCCTTGAAAATGTTATGGAGTATATTTCTATTCTATATACATGGAGTCACATGAGTTGGAATCAACTGTATAACAAATGGTTTTTTAGTTATATGTGGCTGTGTAATTCTTAATTGTTGTTAAGTGCTGTCTAGTTGATTCCAACTCATAGAGACCCTATATAGGGTTTCAGAGGAGCGACTGCTGTAACTTGAACCACTGACCTTGCAGTTCACACTGACCTTGCATTCCAATGTATTAACTCTCAGCACCACACCAGGACTCCATAATTTTTAATTAGTTAAAATAACTGAAAACATTAGTTCTTTAGTTGCTGTAACCACATTTCAAATGCTCATGTGGCTAATGGCGGCTTCTAGCCATTCCTATCATTGCAGAAGGTTTTATTGGACAGAACTGGATCTAGATATTTAAAGGTTTAGATTTTACTGCACCTTCTCCACCCCTACCAAAGTAATTTTTCTCCATGGGAGACCTGCCAGAGTCTGAGACACAGAAGGAAGGGACTTAGTTTTCACTTTGGCCAAACCTTCACCAGCCATGAAACTAGGGTGTTATGCTTGTTCCCCACCAAACTCAGTAGGTTCCCTCCTGCACAGGTTCTCAAAAGAAGACTTACTGATGTTTCAGAGAATGTCAAGAGAGATAGCAGAGAAGAGTAAGTTTAAGAATATTTCTGGAGGAGAGGCCACCTTAAGAAGCAAATACAGTGGGGGAAAGTGGTGTTTAATTATATCCTGGGCCCAGGTAGGGATTAAGCTTTCCCATGTAATCTTTGCAGTCCTGGTGTGGTTAATGCACCAGACAGCAAAGCCGTTCGAACTGCAAGGTCGGCGGTTCAAGCTCACCAGCCGCTCCTTGGGTCGGAACTGACTCGATGGCATTTAACAACAATAACAATGTAATCTTCAGACAGAGCTATGAAGGAGATGGAGCCATCCCCAGTTTACAAAGTAAGGCTTCAGAGAATAAGTTCTCACAGCTCAGTAAACTACCTAAGCCAAGATTTGAATTAATTACCCACAAGGAGCTTTGGTGAGATTCTGAAGGGAATAGAAGATGGTGAGCAGCAGAGTACGAAGTCAGGGACAGAAAGAGCTGGAGAGGTGGGAAGGGAAATCCTCTAGGCCAAATGTGTGCTGAAGCTTCTGGCCATGACTCATCCTTTTCAGTCCCTTGGGCCCTAACCCAGGTCTGTGGACACTCAACTCTGGGCTCTTTCCCAGGAGAGTCTGGGAAAAATGCTACTTGCTCTGAGACTGAGGATGTGTGGTTGGAGAGGGGACAGCATGGAGCTCACCTTGGTGTGGGGTGAGGGGCAAAAGCACAGGGGTCCAGAGCCTGTCCGGACTGCTGGGAGCAGGGATTTCTAGTAGAGAAGCCAAGAAGAGTGTTTGGAGCTACAGAGCTACAGGGATTTGTACTGGATCCCCAGCCCTGGTCATCCAGGCGATATCTAGTAAATTCTCTAGGGTTCATTGTCTCATAATTTATACATTGCGCCCCCTTACCCATTCTGCTAAGTAAGTGGTCACTTTTGAGGATCACAGCAATGCCTGTGGGCCTCCCTGCTTTCTACCCCTTGTTGTAAACGCAGACTCCGAGGCTGGGAGCCCTTTGCAGGATGACTTGGGAACTCTCAGAGGTCCCGCCCCTAACCCTAGTTTGCCAGGCTCCCGGAGGGACCCGCAGCGCCCCTTGGCCGCTCTCGCGGCAATTGGAAGCTGATGTCACTGGCGCCCTGAGCGCGCTGCAGGCGCGGCGGGTGCGGCTGCGCTTGCACCCGGGCGCCTCCGGCGTTGGGTCCAGCGTACCTCCTGCACTGGCGCTGCATGCGCGATGGACAGGACTGAGGAAGGATCCGTGAGTTCGGGCTCAGGGCGAGTTCGGGCTCAGGGCGACGAAGCTGGCTAGGAGAGGGTTGAGAACGCTGCTACCCCCAACTCCCCTTCAAGGGTGTTGGTGCCAGAACTGGGTGGGGGTTGGCAAATATCGAAGCTTAGGACAGGTGGGACCCTGGTGCAGACAGATGTAGATGACTACCAGAGGGACCTGTGGGCTTGGAGAGCTGTGTAGTCTGGGAAGGCTTCCTGGTGGAGGAGGAGTTGTGACTGGTTGGCTTATTTGGGAAGGGCAGAAAGGGAAACAGGTGGATGGTGTTGGGGTGAGGGGTGATGAGAGTGTGATCTGGTGTGGGGATGCAGGAAATAGATAGGAAGGAAAACTCTACAGGGGAGGCTGGACAGACTTAAAAGGTAATTTGGGATGTTCAGGTCTTGGAAATTTAAAGGTTGGAGCCCTGGGCATATAAACATGGGAGGGGCTGTAGAGGAGAGCTGGTGTGAGGAAGAACACAGGTTTTGGGTAGTCACATTTACCCGCCTTCTCCAGCTGAGTGACTTCCAGAACCATCTGCATACTGTGATCTGGATTAGTCTTCCACCTCCTCTCTCTGTTCACCTCAGCAGAAGCAAGCCGGGCCTGTGTCATGTGAGAGTGTTTATAGCATGACATGGCACTTGTGAAGCATCATTAATGGCTGCATCTCTCACCTCCCTGCTGGATTTCCAACAGAGAGCCTTGGACAGCACAGAGATGCTCTACCATTCCTTGGGTGAATAATACTGTCCTGAAGCAACATCACTAAAGCAAGCAGCCCACCATTCATGTGTATCAAATGCTGGGCGCTGTGTTAAGTGCTTTATGTCCCTGTGTCATGGAAGCCTCACAGCAATCCTAGGATGGAGGGACTCATTCCATCCCTGTTTCATAGATGGGGAAACCAAGGATTAGGAAGATTGAGTAAATTGCCCAGTGTTTTAAAAATAAGTTTCTTCCCAGCTTCTCAAGTCAGTGGCAAGGTTGTATC